TCCTTTTCTTCCCCCTCCATCCGTCTTTCCTTCCTGTCTCATCTCTCTTTCCACAATTTGAACTGATGCCTGTTTGTTACTGCTCATATTTTTTCTTGTGCAGTTCTAGCTGTCAGTTTTACAAAAAAAATATTCACACTTACAAGAGAGCTCATTTCAGATTCACATCATGATGTCAACTAGAGACCGAGCACAGTTTCATGGCAACAAAATCGGGACCCAGTCGACATATTTGGGGGGAAACTCAGGGAGCCAAGGGAATTTTTTTTTTTTTTTCTCAGAGAGCCGTCACAGCGAGAGACCAAATCCATCACAAAGCGAGACGAGCGCAGTGCCACCATGGAAAAGCAAATATTTCATCTAACGCCCTGCCACGCACTCGACTGAGGCAACTGTTGAGCGATTAATAAAAATCACGGGCGTCGAAGAAAGGAATAACATGATGGCTGATGAGCTGCAGTGCCCCACCTCTCCCACCAACCCTCCCAAAAAATTAATTGCCTCTCGTAAACCCTGAACAAATTCCATGTCATCATCCACCCACTGATTTTAATTTGAGGAGAAACAGCTTTCACCATCTTATCTAAGTTAATGTATTACTTGGTCCCATGTGACTGGGACCGAGTACCGCCACCACCTCCCCCTACATCCTCTCTGCTTGTGTCTTAAGAGGATTAGTCGACTCTATATATAAAGCACATTATCTTGTCTTTTGTTGCTGGCCAAGTAAGTGTTATAGATTATACTGCAGCAAGAGCCTCCATCGAGATTAACTGTGCTGGGAATTTGTTGTGGTTGTGGTTTTCGTAGCTCACCAGCAGGCCAGCTGGGATGTGATCTGTGGAGGTGATAGGTCGCAGGGCAATGGCTGTAGGAAGAACGCGCTTCAGGAAATGGATGTGAAATCACTCTAATGTGGTCCGCTGAGGAGGAGGAGGCATTCAGCGGCAGAGAAGTTAGACTCATGTATCAGGATGATGTCAGCGTTTTACTAAAAATAAAGCTGCAGCATCGGATATGATGGATGGATACAGATTGATTGACGATGATTGATTACATGTTTGTTGTAGAATTAAAAATGGGAAGCGCTTAGCCTGAATTGTACTTAAAAGTGAGGATGACGCAACATTTTCATCAGTAAAAAAAAAGGCCCAAATGTGTTATGACAAGAATGAAATTCTTCAAAACACTAGATACTTAAGGGATTTTTGGCTAAAAATGTATTACATGTTAGTATGTTTAATGTCACAACAAAATATGGCCGTTCAGAAGCTTGAATCCAAATTCAACAGTATTGGCCATCCAAAGCCAATGTACTTCAAACACTAGGGATTTAGAGAAATGCATGTAAATGTTGTAATAGCAAATAGACAGCTGAATCTAAACACATTTTTATTTGCTGTAGCAAAATAGTGCTACTCTTTCAACAAAATTACTGGACTATGTTACATTTTATGTCACATGACTATTTTTATATGAATATAGAAATATATGTATGAAAAAAAAAAGAACATCAGCAGCAACAAGAAATGAGTTCAACCCTTCAGACTGACTTTCAGTAGAGGGCACAGTGACAGGTGACCACTGGGACATGTGGTGCAGAATCACAACAATGGACATAAAGTTATAAAAACACAGACTAAGAATTCTTGGCTGTTTTTTTTTTCTGATAAATATCAAGATTTTATTCTTTTTTCACAATAAAAAAAACCCAGATACTTTCTTTTACATCATCTGTAAGCCACTATGACACCCTCATTTCTGGAAGAAGTATTCAGATCCGTTGCAGTGCCACAATGTGAAAATACTCAGTTACAGTTAAAAAAAAAAAAATTAATTCCTTCATTTGAAGTTTTAGTACATGTCCCATAAAATTGTACTTAAACACTGCTGGATATATTTGATTACTTTCCACTTGCTGAGTAACAGTATCCCACTTCCCCTTTCCCTTTACTTGCTGTCGATCCAAAATGGCCGCCGCATTACATCACCTCCCATGCGGCCCGGCTTTTATGCTGCTGTTTCCTACAGGTGCTCGGCGACAATGCGTCAGAGCCACAATGGCGGCTCGGGCAGAGTCTTATTGCGTAGCTTTTTTTTTTCTTCTTCTTCTTTTTTTTTTTTTTTTTTATTGAGCACCTTTGGCAGCTGTAAGCCCCCCCGTAGTAAGGGGATTATTCAGTGTTTGGTCGACACATGGTGATCTCAGCACCTCCTGATTGGATTGCAGTAATCCCTTTACACAGCCACAAAACCCTATTACTCTGGCATTAGAGAGGGAGAGAGAGGGTAGGGGGTAGAGGGTGGTGGGGGGCATCTGATGTAGGACAGTGTGCGCGTGTGTGTATGTGTGTGTGTGTGTGTGTTCTGTGGGACTGTGACTTTCTGTATGCATCTTTAAATGTGTGTAGAATGTTTGCAGGTCGTGTGTGTGATGGTGTATGCATGTTGTGTGTATATGTGTCTGTCGGTGTCTGTTCTTTGAATGCATGTGGATTTTGTGCACATGCGCCCTTTTTCGCGACTTTATGTGCGTGTATTTCAGTTTGTCGTGTCTTTTGGTGCGATTTATATAGAACTGTGTGAGCGAGTGTATACGTGTGTGTGTGTGTGTGTGAGCGTGTGGGTGGACTGTGTTTTCGTGTATGTGACCTTTACAAAAACCTTTATGTGTGGACTCTGCTTTAGATGTGTGTATGTGCATTTTCCTTTATGCTTGTTTATCTGTACTTGTACGTGTGTGTGTGTCTGTGTGTCTGTGTGTGTGTGTGTGTGTGTGTGCTTGTGTATGTGTCTTTAAAGGGATTCAGACCTCCTGCTGTTGATAAGCGTCTGTGTGCAGGTGGAGGGTCTTAGCTCGCGGCTTCCTGTTACATCATTGCTGCTTTTAGCAGCTCTAAAGCAAATATAATAGAGAGCTGATACTACAACAAGGAAAGGCTAGTGTGTGTGTCTGTGTGTACGTGTGTGTGTTTGCGTGTGTGCTTCCAGATATACACAATGCTGCTGTGAAGAGGTGAATCCGGCTGTTCAGCACTGAGCCTGTTAAGCTACAAAACAAACAACAAACCTGACCCGCTGCATGTTTATAGAGTTTGTTAAGTGTACAAGCTGGTGCTATATCTGCATTTGATCAAGATACTTTTCCGTTACCTTCCACCAACCGGTAGTCTGCCTTCCATTTTTAACAAACTCCTCTCATTTTAGCAGAAAGCCATTAGGCCTTTTTTGGAAGCTAATTCTGATTAAGATCAGTCCCATTTGTAACTGCCACCATAAATCATCGCCGGAGCCATTTAAAGAACCACACCAGCTCATTTCAGCCCCTCATCCATTACAAACGATCGTACCATCAATATTTTGTGTGTATGGGCGGCTGATTTTCAAGTCTGTTAAAAAAAATACAAAGTTACACCAGCCACAATCAGATTATGGCTAACAACACACACTCCTTGGCATGATCTTATGTGCCAAGCTCATTTGCATAGAGTTGATCAAAGTCACGTTGTCTTCCTTGATTATGAATACTGTATGGTAGACCATGGCCAGGCTAAAACTGGTTGTCATTTAAACAGGGCTAGAGTAGATTAGACTGATACGCACTCTCATTAAGACGGCTTTTGGTGCAACTGATGAAATGAGGGAAACACGCATATGGGAACTCATACACAGTTTAATAACATTTCCAACAATCCTTCATGGTGAAGCAGAGCAGAGGGAGCCACAAAAAACGATCCAAAGAGTGAGATGAAGTTTAGAAAGACCAGACGCTCATAATGGACCTGATTCTGATTCTCCTTCCTTCCATCCTCCTTGTAGTCTTGAATTTCTTTGCCAGTTTTGTTGTCTTTGATTCACAATTGTAAACTCAAGTGATGCAGTAAACTCTACCCATCTGGTGCTTTAAGCAGGGTAAAACATTGGACATTGGCATTGTTCATTTCTGCAAACCATGGATTTATATTTGTACGTTTCAAACGAATGACGTAGTTGAAATTATGAAATGAGCTTCCCATCAGGAGATGGTGTATGACACCTTGGTGAGATGGCTTACAGCATTAGACAGCAGCAGATCCACTGTTCAAGACCCACAAAAGCAGGGGGTCCAGCCATGTTTGTAGCAACAAAAGCAGGTTTTTTTTAATCACAGTTCAGGACTTTTTAAGCTGTGTATGTTGCAGTGAGAGCAGGTGTTTTTACCAACAGTTTCTGCCATTTTTGTAGTGACAAAAGTGGGTGTTTTTAAACTAGAAATCAAGATATGTTGTGTTTGTGGCGACCAAATCGTGCATTTTAAGCCATAACATGATGTTTTCCTAACCTTGACAAAGTGTTTTTTATGCCTAAACCTAACCACACGTTAACCACAGTGTTCTCACAACATAAAAGTTAAAAATTAAAACATAAAGAAATGTAAAGTTTCAACTAATCCTCTACATATGAAATGTACAAATGTAACACATCTATGGTTTGCAGAAACATAAGATGCCAAAATTTACTGTGGCGATTGGGCTAGGTAACACAGATCAATCTTTGTTTTCTTTTTCACATCAGTAGAGCATTTAATGGGTGTGATTTGCATCATAGGTCAAAGACAATTGGCAATCACAAGAAAGAGAACTAGCATGTATTTAGTCAACTTTCCTTTGATTGACAAAATAACATACCATCTGATACTCCTCTAAGATTCAAACAAACAGCAAACTGCGACAGCGTTACAGGCTACTGTGTGAAATTTTGTGATTGACAAATCAATCGAAACCCTCTTCCTTAAGGTGTAAAGCCTGTCCATCTGGTGCTTCAAGCAGATACAGACAAGCATAGATGAATGGAAAGATGAAAACAAATAAAAGGAATTCAAATAATGAATGTCCCACTACATAGACCTGTATATGTTGGTAATGAAACAGGTTAACAAATCTACGTACAACCTTTTTATTGTATCTCCAGCAGTTTTCCTCACCTCCTCTGCTCTCTCTTCTCTTTTTCTCCTCCATCAGTCCTACATGGAGGATCATATGAAAAACAAGGATCGCCTGGAGAAGGAGTGGGAGGCGCTGTGTGCCTATCAGGCAGAACCCAACGCCTGCACCATCGGCATGAAGGATGGCAACGCCAAGAAGAACCGCTCTGCTGCTGTTGTGGCGTGTAAGCAATCAGCTCTCTCTGTTTTGTTTCTTTTCTTAGCACTCTGTGTTTCTTAGTTTGATTAGTGGGCGAGCCCACATTAGCATTTAGATAGTAGTAATCAAAAAGTGATCTAGTAAGTGTACTACTGCTTCAGTATTCACCGCCACTGCATTTGCTGCTTGTATGAGGCCTTGAATTTAGGGGGGACTTTCATTGCCACTTCCTCTGGTTGCTGTTTTAGACCTAAAGATGTGTGTTTTGGGGGTATTTCTTATCTTGAAAATAGCCATTAAGTTGGAAACTGGCACAAGACATTAGCATCAATATTATAAATAACAGCACTGGCCTTCAAAACTATAAGTCTTCAGATTTTTGTTCTGGAAGATTATCTTTGCATTCGAAGATACATATGTTAAAGATGATTCTGCTCAAGTTTGTGTTGAAGAAATGTCAGAGCTGATGATTTAATAGCTGAAGAAGACCTCAGTAGACTTCAATGGATTACACACAGTATTTAATAAAGACTCAATTGAGGAGAATCTCAGTTGAGCATACAAAATGTAACACAGAGTATATCCCAAGACTCTGAGAATGTCTTTGCCCAGTCCTTGCATTTAACCCAAACAGTATTCTGTTGCGAGTCACTCCATGTTTCAAAATAAGGTTATTCTGTACCAATCTATAGTTTTGTGAAGTTCTATTGATTACTGACTTTCAACAACAAGCATGCTCGCCTGGCTCGCTCTAAATCACCATGACTGCCTCAGAATGTACAAACCAAAAAAGAGACTCTTGTCTGTTGAGCCTGGGGCATAGGGCAATCCCCCTTCCTCTTAACTTTGGAAGCTATGGCAACAGAGCCAACTAGGCACCCTTATCTGGACACCTGTACTCCCTCCTCTAGGAGTGAGAGACCAAAGATGGAGTGCATTTATAACAAAGGTCAAGTAGCCTGATTTGAGGCCTCTTTAAGACCTGTCACACATCTTCTTTACTGACCAAGGTTAAAGGCTGTAACACATCAAAATTCCTTCACACTTCGAGACCACATGATATTGCCACCCAAGTAGTTTGGGTTACATATCTGCAAAACCTCATCTATATGGGCAATTGAAAACTTGACGATGTAGTCTTCAGTGATCAAAACTGTAAATCGATTGTGTAATGTGCCTTTAATGAGGTTCCTAGCAAGCTGCAACCTTTGGGGCTGAAAAATGAAGCCAGTGCGGAAGTGCCAAAAATTACAGTTCCTCAAATGGCCACTTGAGGCTGGCTCCAGAAACAAGTCAAATCACCATAGACCCCCCATGTTAAGATGCCACACTTTACAACAGAAATAAACAGTTTTGGTCTATATAGTCACCTTGTGTCACCTCTGGCTCCAAAAGTGCAAGATGGCAACAGCCAAAATGCCAAACTTAAGGCTCTAAAATGGGAGTCCACAAACCATTGGCTGTCATCACAGTGGCTACATCCATTGTTTTTATACAGTCCATGGTTCCCTGTACCAAACCAATTGTCTCATAGGTGTAACAGTATCAGTAAAGTTCAGTGTATAATGTTGGAGATTTTATTTAACCGTCAATCTGTAATCTATGTCTTCATTTTTGATATCATCAGAGTATTTCCTGTGATAAACCTGTTCAAACTGAAGAGCTCTGTGTTTAGCAGGATAGTAGCCAGATAGGAAAGACAACATTATCTCCTGCTCATTGATGGAGGGCAGACAACTGTTAATGTCTGAGTGCAACCAAAATACACCTCCTGATGTCAGCCCTGGAAACATGGTGGCATTACTCTCGCCACCTCTCAACAACACTCCCCTTATATTCTGAGCCCGGCCTCTATTATCAGAAACCAGGAGCAGATGCAGTGAGCAGAAGGGTTGTAAATTAGTTTTCTATTAAAGCTCTCCTGCACCGACCTCATCAATGATTAAAATTTCTAAGCTTCTGTGGAAATAGCCCATCTAAAAAAGTGCTGTTCCATTCTCTCCAGCAGGCCCAGGCTTAATGAAATCCAGGTTGTCAGCAGGGAAAGCAGTTTGTCAGGAATAAATTGTGCTTCCTATTTGAAGCACCACTGGCTTCTTCGGAAAAAAAACACCCCCCAAAAAATCAAAACTGTTTTGCCACTATCACTGCGGACAAGAGAATAGGAAAATCTGCCACTCCCAAAAATTTCAGTGCACCAGGGACGATGGAGGGCACATCCTACTGAAGCTGAAATCCAATTCCAAAATTAACTGGATACCTCTAGGGACATATGAAATTAAACTCACAAACTTTAAAATTCTTGTTTAAATTCACCAAAATTTACCCCAAAATTAAAAAATGGGTTAAAATTTTTTCCAGTTGTCTGGCATCATCACACATATACAGTTAATTGTGTATCACGTTGATTCTTATTGATGTTTAAGCCAAGCGAGAGATGGATCGTGCATCATTCTGTACACATTTCTCAAAGTATTTTGTTGTCTTATTTTAGCTGTGACATCAAATTATGCTAAAAAAGAGCACAGTGGGAGTCCAGTGGCAGTTTTGGTATTTTGAAAAGTTAGATTTTGAATTTAATCCTGTCAGTTAAAGCATAGCAAAAAAAACATCAGTTTGTAAAGACACAGAGTTTCAGAATTTAACCCTCTCTGCCATCTCAAACCATCTAGTTTTCTCCATTGGTGAAGTAGTTCATCCTGGATGACTGCCAGGTGTTAAAATTAGTGGCTCAGTCGCCAGAAGAAAATGTTGGCATTGTACGTTTTGGCAAACCACAAACATGTTTTATTTGCATGTTTCAAACTTGTCATATCAACGTTTATAAAGTGACATAGTATATGAGCTGACTGTCACTGGGAGGTGGAGGGGATGGAGGGTGGTGTGTCACCTAGAAAAGATGGCTGCCAAGCTGAAGACCACTGTTTGAGACCAACATCAAAGAACAAAACTCTTTATGATATAACAATTCATTGCTATATTTCGATTCACTTTTTACGTACCAAAGATGGGTGTTTTCTGGCAGCCTATAGCGACTTTTCCAGCAGGGACATTGTCAGGAAAAGCACTTGTTTTTTTTACAGAAACATTGCTGCTTTTCCACTGGGGATTGTGCCCCCCAAAACTGGGTATTTAAGCCAAAACGTGAACTATTCCCAACCATTCCCAAGTGGTTTTGTGCATTAAGTATGTATCCACTGCATAATGTGCAAATTTAACATGTCCGTGGTTTGCAGAAATGTACAATGCCAACATTTTTTCCGGCAGTTTGGTTGGAATTGTTAGAGGTGCCTTCTAAAAGTCGTGGATCAGTTGATCAGTTCTCTGAGGAAAATCAAAGAACATCAGGGGATTTCTCAAACAAGTCACTTGGTGGTTTTTAAGTCCTGAAATGAAACTCGTTCTATTCTGAGCTGAAAACAACCTTGACATACCAAAGGGAATAAACTCTTTAGGTCATGGAAACAGTCTTACTTAGCTGCTTGTGGAAATTTACGTCAAGGCTACAGTGGGAGTCCTGTACATTCAACAGATAAGCAAAAAGCTAATTGCAATGCATGTAATATGGCCACTGAGCAGCACTTGCATTCCTAAGACAAAATGCGCTGAATTCTTCCATTTGTGTTCCAGATGATCACTCCAGAATCACCTTGAAGGTGGAGAACAGCCAAGGCAACTCTGATTACATCAATGCCAGCCCGATCGTGAGTACCTCCTCTGCATTCTAACTCTGTGCTTCACACCGCCGCTATGCCAGGCTCCCACAGTCCCCACGGGGCTTCACGGGAACAAAGGCAGCCTACCGTTGTACAATATAAATTTTGATGCATCGCTTGCTTAGCTTCAGCGGCAGCCCCACGCTAGTGTGTATGTTCTGCACCATGAATATTAATGATTGTTTTACAGCAAACACCCTGGGCGAGTATTCGCTCGGGGAAGGCGTGGGAAAGGACATGCGCACGGCTCTCGGCTCGCTTCTCGTTTGTGAAAACAAAATTGATCTGTGGGGTCTTGGGAAATTATTGTTTTTGACCTTGGGTTATGCTAATTTGACACTAGTTTGTGTTTACTGTTACGGTGCGCTCGACTTGCCGAGGCCGTTCCTTGGCGCGGTGCAGATTTAAGCAGCAAAACAGCCTGTAGGAACGAGAAGGGGGAAGAAAGAGCCATGTGAATTCAGTAAGTGAGTGTATCAATTTGGAAACCAGTGTTGGAATAGTAGGTTTACGTTTCCCCCGAGGCAGATACAGTGGTATTCCATTAAAAGCAACAGAAACGCTATGCATTTCAAATCTGGGCGTCACACCAAGAAGTGGCTGAGTGTGTGCTTGTGTGTGTGTGTGTGTGTGTGTGTGTGTGTGTGTGTGTGTGTGTGAGTGTGAGTGTGAGTGTGTGTGTGTGAGAGAGAGAGAGAGAGAGAGAGAGAGAGAGAGAGAGAAAGAGAGAGAGAGAGAGAGATGAGAGTTAGAAGGAATCAAAACTATACAGGAACAAAGGAGCAGCCTTGTCAAATGCCACAAATGTAAAAACAGCTGCAACACATGTACCCACGCATGCATAACGAAACACACACACACACACACACATATACTTAAAAACACACTTTGAGGCAAACAGACACACACACTGAAATGTACACACTCACTTGCACACACACAAGCATGCATACTCATCTACACTCACATTTTATACATACACACACAGATGACAGAACATAGAGTGCAGATGCCCACACAGACACGTAAAAGTACACACTCAAACATGAACATCATGCATACATACCCTCTCCCCCTCCCACACACACACACACACACATTAAAGAATGAATGTATGTTCACGTATGGTACACACTGAGGTTATTTAAGGAACCTCCTCTGCTGACAATTTGTTTTCCCCTCGCCCACGCTTTGACGTAAGGAAGAAAAGCAAATCTAAGATGTATGGGATCTTGTTGCAAAAATTAGCAGTAAATGTTTCTGATGCTCGGCCAAATTATGCTCTTTTACTGTATTATTATTATATAGTATACTATACCAATGTTATAGGCAAGCATTTAATTAACTAACTAGTTCCCAGTTGTCACAATTGAGAGACTTGTTCGTTCTACTGACATCCATTTATACATTTTAAGTCAGAACATTATTTACATTTTTTTTTAAAACATCACAACGCAAAATAACTTCAATGTTTCTCCTGAAAATGATGCAATCCCACACTTTTTATCCATATCAAGGACAAACGACAAAATGATCAGGCTGTACTCATGCATTGTTCCTAGTTACACCAAGGAAAGTAAAGCACCACAATTCGTATATAATCCTGAGCCAGTAATTTGTGTAATTGTGAAGGCAGTGAACTCATGACCACTGCACTGGTGGAAGAAGGAAATAGTATAAAGACCAGAAGTTTGTGTAAGGAGGCAGGTTGGGTTGGTGGATGGGTCAAACATCACAGGACTTTTACCCCAGGAGGCTGCTGACCTGAATTATGTAAACCAAGTAAACTTTGAGGGTTTTTTAAGGTCCATAACCACCATGTTTCTTTTCCTAAACCTTACCTACGTAACTTTATGTTAAGTAGGCCTACATAACTTTACATGAAATGGGTTATGTCATTCGTAGGGAACTCACTCTAAGATATCATACGAACCGTAAACCATACAAAAGCATTAAAATGATCAAATGTCAGGAATGGAAGCTGCACATTAAAGACTACAATCCTTGCCACAACAATCGCCTGATCTAACAGGTGGTAATCTTCTGATCTTACTCTGCAGATAAACATGACATTTGCGATGCCATATAAGTAATTCTGAGTCTTTAAAATTGTATGTAACAGACATAAACTAATGAATCTGACACCTTTCAGGCTTTCTGCTAAGTCCTGCTTTGGTTCAGAAACCTTGATTTTACTTTCTATGATTAGATGGCCATTTGTTTTCTATCCCCTACATCATTAATAAACAACTTAATGTCTCAATGTACCCTGAATGACTTCTTGCATTCCCCTGTGAGTTGCTGTTCTTCCTTAGACCTCAATCAGGTGCTGTATACCAGTAACCTGTATAAGACTTAAACAGTGTGATTTGTAGTTTTGTGTAGACATGACTTATACAGCATCAAAGTCTCACACACACAGATGTCGATAAGCAACATTTTTGGGAGACTGAACAAAGCAAGAGCCACTTTGCTCCCATTAGGCTGAGGCTTTTAAGGCAGTACAGCTGTGTGCTAGGTAAAAAAAATCAAAAGAATCAGCAGATGAGCAGTTGTCATTTAATCAACCAGATGTTGTTGTCTGTGCTAGCTAAAGCAAGGGTAACATGAATTAGCTAAAGTACATAATTAAAGCCTTGCAAAGCCATCCTAAATGCTACATGCTCAGTTTCTCATTAGATATTTATCTGGAAAGCACCCTCTGGGATTTAATGGAGAACAGCAGCTGGAGACTGAACCGGCCAGCGAGCTAGGGCGGGTGTTTTAGATGATGGTTGTTTGTTCTATGGGGTGAGGTCATCAGCTTTACATCCAACTCCCAACATGGAGGATTCATAAGTGTCTTTTTGTTTGTTCTCTATCTACTATGCTCTGGTTCTTGTATAATATTTTCTCAAAAACTAAATTTGCCTGGTACTTGGGTGATATTTGACAAAAGTTTCAGACCAACCGTAATATTTTTTAGCAGCTAATGGTTAATGCCTACTACAATATTACAAATTACGTGAAAGTAAAGAACTGACATGTAATATGTGAATTAATATAAAGTGTTGTTTTTTCTTACCATCAACCAAACATCTACTTTTATCTGCCATGTTTCTGCGTATATGACATCAGAGTCAGCAAGTCATGTATTGACTTTCCGAGTCACCTTAAAGGGGTGTTACCAGTCATTAACTAATTTTTCTAATCATCCCCACACCACATGACTGCATCAAAAGATATTATTCACGTTCACAGTTATTATGATAAAATAAATTATTACCATAAAAGTTTTAGATACAACATTAACCAGAGTTACTGCGAGTGTCCCAACTTTCTAATCATTTCATTGGGTAGTAAAATAGAAAACTGAAGTGAAGCACACTTCCTATATACTAGTAAAATAACATGTTTTTCCCTCAAGTTCCACACACAGAAGTTAGTCAGTTGCATTAACTTACTCACAAACACAATAAATTATTTACTTTCTCCTTAAGCACACTCACAATAAGTCAGAACAGACTCAAAAGTTTCCTCACACCCTCAGTCACATACACACACACCCTAAGACTTAATCAATCATTCAGGTACCACTCAATCATGCATACACACCATCACGCAGGCGTCTACTCATTCTGATGCGTGTCCTGTGCTGATAGCACCGAGGTTAAATCAGCCTCACAGCTTTTATTGACAGTTAAATTGACTTTTTTTGATTAAGGATTTAAAAGAGTCACTGAAGAAAATAGAAAAGACTGCAAGTCATATTGTGTCCACTGTTTTTAATAGCACCAAACTGAATTCTAAATAAAAAAAATCATTAGGATGTCTTAATGAAACTTCATTGCTAATGTTGCTAATTCGAATGAAATTAACTTAAGGGATCCAACTGTAAAACAATTAAACTGCAAAACATGTCACTTTTTAAAGGCACTTGAAAAAGGAAAACAATATGTGCGGTCTCCTTTGAATTACTCTTATTTAAAGGAGCTGTGTGGAACATTCTGAGTATATCTATGATTCAGAGTCTGAGCCGGGATTGTCTGCACATGGCTCTCAATGTGGAGGGAGCTGAGTGGGCAGTTAGCAACTAAAGATGCTAGCAGCTAAAGGTGCTAGCATCAGCAATAGTGCTACACACATGGGCTCACATGCACTAAAATACACACCACTGCCTGACCGGCTGCCACAACAACAAACAGAGAAACTCAGATTACGATACACACACATTCTTCACTATATCTTTACATTGCAAATAGTCTGCTGCTATATTAATGTTCCAAATGTCGTATGTAGCTCCTTTAAGTTTTCCTTGCAGGTAACATCTTACAGTCAGGTGCCTGTGACTTTGACACCAGTGACTTCTGTTGGTATTTTCTAACAATTAATTTGATCTCTCCCTAACCTTTAGTAATTACGTAAACCCAATCAGACTTTGACTGGGAGTGAGAAAAAACTCATGAGTCATTCTGGATTGCACTGATATATAACCTAATTTGACATTTAGGATCAAGAACGTGCTATTTGCACCTCATGCTACAGAAAGTTTCAAGATCATTAAAGATATTTGATATTAGATACCACATTTGCTAAAGCGGAGTTTAACATGACGGCAAATATTAAACAATAAATTTGAAAAGGGTGGAAAAACCTGAAACATTCAACCAAAATATGGACGTTACGAAAATTATTTGGTGGCCCTTTGCATTATTTTACCTTAAGGAAGAGCTCCTGTCTTAAAGGATCACTCAAATAAAAAAACATTTTCTCACTTCCTCCTGAATAGTATTTAGAGATTTTCATATCTCTGCTGCTAAGACATCTGCCTCCGCCCCACTTTAACGGCAGTTTGTGAAAATATTTGAACATCAGAACAGGAAATTCATTTCCCAGAACCTATCCTTGTTACTCTGGGTAATTCACAGACCTCACTGTGTACCTGGTACCTGAAAGGAGATAATTTTGTCTCTCCTGAAAAGAACAGAAAACAAAGGAAGGTATTTTATTTCCTAATTGCTAAAACTAATTGATGTAGTTGACAGCTAGCAGTTTACCAGTGCCAATCTGTCAGCAGTCACAGACACACACACACACACACACACACACACGCACACACACACTGTCACTATCACCCCCACTGAGGTGTCAGACTGTAGTTGCAGTCTGCCTCATCATTAAACTTCGTTAGACAGATCGGACACAGTGATGGTGATCACGCATGCACACACACACACACACACACACACACACACACACAAAATTTGACTCCTCCGTTCCTTCTGAAGAAAAGACAAAAAAACAATAACAGGGATAATTGCTTTTGTCACTTTCCTTCCATTTTTGTCCCTTATTAAGGAGTGTGTGTGTGTGTGTGTCTGTCTGTCTGTCTGTCTGTCCTGTGTGTGTCATTAACGGGGTTAATTCTGGAGACACCTTGAGATGTCAGGAAGCATTGTGTGTCCACAAAGATTGAAAAGGAGACAGGGTGTCTTTTCCTCATCTTTTTATCTTAATAGTGTCTCCGCGATTTCCTCTTTGTCTCGTGTATCTTTTCTCCTTGTTTTCCACCCTTGTCTCTCACCAGCTTTTCACTTTAACAACTCTTTTTCTTTTCTGTTTCCTTTCTCTTTGTTGTCTTTCTTGGTTCATCAAAGTCAATTTGTTTCTCCTCCTCTGTCCTTCCTGGTCTTTCTCTTTTAATTTCCTAGACCTTACCACTGTGGATCAGATGAGACCATTTTTTCAAATTGTTTCAAATTCTTTCCAGGTCGACATTCCTTTATTTCTTAGGCCTTAATACTCTGGGGTGGACAAGGGACATTTTGTATTTCAGTCATGTCGTTGGTCATGTGCAGGTCAAATTTTGATTAGTCCCATGATGACCTCATGCCAAACAAAATACACAGACACATGTACTTTACACCCCTATGATTGTTTTCCATCAGGATTTGGAAGTTTGCTTCAGAGATTTACTCCCATTCGGCCACACACAAAATTTATTTTCAAAATAAACGTCCATGTTCACAGGACACGTAGGACTCATCACCAAAACCTCTTTAGATTTCGGCAACAAAGCTACGTGATAAGGTTTAGAAAAAAGAAAATAGTTTGGGTCAAAATAACTAACCTAACACGGCACACGAACACGGGTCTCCTTGGTGAATGTCCTGTGTTTGTTTGACCCATCCACAACCACCACTCCTTTCACCCTACTTACACTTCCTCACTCTTTATACTACATCATTTCCATGGATGGGCTTACATAGGAGTTAGCTGAAAGCCCACTACGTCTGATAAAGACGCCAAAGGGCGCCTTGTGTATCAGAATCAGATGCCAACAGCCACTGACCAAGCTGCCTTATTTGACATCCTGGGAATAAGATATGATGTGGCTGTGAGGTCAAGGCTCTGTACAGGCCTGGCTTTGTGCAATGGGGCATTGTCATGGTGAAACAGTAAAGGGCCGGCTGTAGCAGTAGCATTTCTTTTTGTTGAAAACTGTAGATGTAACCTTCTGGCTAACCACCTTCAGTTGTCTTAATAGTGCACCTCTGCCTCCAGCTATTTCTTTACTATGATGCAATCCTGGCTGTGGATGTTTTAATGAGCACTCCCTGGGTACCATGTCACCTTTTCTCTCTCTAAGTCACTGCATTTTAAGTTCATTAGAAGTGCATTATTGTTTGGCATTCATAAAGAGAACAGAGGACCATTAAAGACAATTTTGTGTGCAGGAAAAGCCCCAGAAATTATCTGTCTTCCCTCTGTAATTGCTTCCAGCTAAATTGGTCTTCCCAATTATTACATTTACCGTACAATTTGCATGGTAATAGGCAGGGGTGTCACTCACTTCCTCGCAAATTCTCCTCACGTTAGTCTCCTGTCGTTTGCTCTCAACGCCTACGCCATCCGTCTGTAATTTCCAACAAGTTAAGGAAGAAGTTACTGAAAACTCTCACTAAGAAGCTTTCAGCTATGAACAAGAAATAATGGTACAAACCAGGAAACTTATACATTGTGATAATGCAAGTTGGTTTTTTTATAAAGAGAATGAGACACAGCAGGAACTCCTGGAGGTCATACAAAGGGTTTCTGGAAACAGACAAGGACAAAAGCAATGAAGTGCTGTAGGCTTGTGCCAGTGTGTTGCATTTACTGTATATCATGATGCACTGAGGTTTTTAACAGGCTGCAGAGCACTAAATCATCTCCGTGCTGCTCTATGCCGAGGTGAAGTGGCCCTCCTTGACCACTCAGAGATTATTTCATTGGTATACTTTTATTTATGAGGCTATTATTGGTTTGTTGCCCTCTCACTTCTCATTGTATTTTAAGTTTTCATAAAGCTCAACATGCAGCCTACTTTTCTAGTGCTTATAGTTGATGTATTCCCCATAACTCGACTTTGAAAAGAAAGTTTTTGCTGAAAAATTTAAATGTTTAGATAACTCATATTTTTGATTAAATTTTGAAGTAACCTAATTTCTAAAGTTTTGCCTTTGAGGTTGTCCAACTTATAGTTTTCCTTTCTGTTAACTCCTCAAAGCTGCAGTAACTTAAAATTTTACATGGTCACAACCTTGTGCTTTCACTGTGAAATTTTAACTTAAATTAATTCACTTGACAAGGTTGAAGTAAGTTCAAGTGGAGCAGCGCTTAAAAAGTTGTCTTCCTCCTTTCCTGGGATGGACTTATATAATATTGGAATCAAAATCTCTTATCCTGTACGATGATTTGAAACTTCAAGTTGCTAACACTTCATTTGATATTCTGGGTTAGGGCCAGTGTTTGGCCAACTTCTTCTGACTTCTTTATCTTGGTTTTTGTTTTGTTCCTGTATTTTCTGTGCTTTTAGAGGGATACTTTCAGGTAAACCTCCCTCCATATTACCAGCGCCCAGATCTCCCTGCTTATCTCCCAGCTGGCTAACTGGCTCTAGGGCTGTTGCTCAAACTACAGATTGTATATCCGCATTTTCATGTGCCTGCCACCAAGAACTCAAAGAGTATAGAAGTGGACTGAGACAGAGCCCCACCCCTTTCTCTGAAAATCAGAACAAGACAGATCAAACTGTAAAACTAAGCAGCACTGATCAAATATAAACCAAGATTCTGTTACCGTATTGCACATTTCTTGCCTAGATTGTCTTTAAAAACATTTTAGTGCACTGTTTAGTTGTAATAGGAGAATTTGTGAAAAGGGAGGGGGCACCCTACTGTTTCCTGCAATATAAAAATGTCATATTATTTCCGGTGACAAAACAGTCTAGCTACCATTACGTCACCCACCAATGGGGGGCGTTTGTTGATTTGGTGCAGCACTGTGCATTCAGGTAGTTGTAGGTTTTAGTTGTAGCAAATGCCACCATTTTTTTCTCTGTTTTCTCTGGTCATGTAGCACCAATTTAAAAAGTATTTGCATCATTCTACTGCATAGACAGCCCAGTTTTATAAAAAGACCATCTTTCCAGCAGTGAAATACTTATTTAATTCTTTGGAAACTGTGCTGTCATTTTGTCCAGGACTGTCTCGATCCTAATGGCCATCCAAGTAAAGTCAATGTTGAACAAAACTGACACGGGGTGATGTAGAGGACTAACTTCAGTTTACAATCAGCATTTATAACCTTACATAATCTCTTCTCCCTCTGTTCTTTTTTTCTCTACCCTCAGATGGATCATGATCCCAGGAACCCAGCCTACATTGCTACTCAAGGCCCTCTGCCCTCCACTGTGGCTGATTTCTGGCAGGTAAAAATGCATGCGCACACACACACAGACACACACAGACACACACACACACACACACTCACAAACAAAAATCAATACATTCTCCTCTCTTAAACAAGAGTTAGCCGATTTTTATTAGTGCAGCGAGCCACACGGGAGACCAGCTTGTTCTGTGAATGTCGCTGTTAATCTCTCCTTCACCATTGTGCTCACTGCCCGGCAACCTGTCTGCAACCACCATTACACACACACACACACACACACACACATACATACACACAGTGGCCTACAGTGGGACACATTGTTAATGCAAGGGACGGCAAACACTTTTCCCGCTGTCCCAAATGTTGGATTGGGTTTGAATCTAAGACCAGGGGATCGATAAGTTATTCTGGCCACTCATGGCGTAGAAGGAGTGTGTGTCTGTGTGTACGTTGGAAGGAAAGGTCCCCTTGTCAAACAAGTTCTGTCCCTGCAGCATTCCCAGTTGTGCTGGTTACCACGCAGGCTGGAAAGAGACAAATCTCAGGCTTGTGTAGATTCTCTGCTTAGCTGCTGCCGCTGCTAATCAACTTGAGTGAAATATAAAGGACAGCTCATTTGAAATGTCCATCCATTATCCATCCATTAGCTATACCCAGTTATCATTGAGGGTCAGGGAGGTGCTGGGCAACACCCCGGACAGATCGCCTGTCAGTCATGGGGGCTGACACGACCGACTGTGAAGTGACAGGGCTAACCACTGTACCACCCATTTAATGGGACAGTTTACCTTAGAATCAAAAATACATATTTTTGTCTTACCTGTAGTACACTTTGTTTTGGTGTGAGTTGCTGACTGTTGGAGATATCTGCCCGCTCTCTAATATGATGGAACTAGATGGTGATCGGCTTGTGCCAAAAATACGTTTGAAAAACTCAGCAGCTGTGTCCCTTGTCAGAAATCATGACCTGGTTACTCAACATAATCCACAGACCTTGTTGTGAGCAGTTTCATATGGGTTTTCTTTCTACCAAACCACACCCATCAACCGCATCATCATGCAGAAGGAAGTGTGCATCTACTACATCTAATTTCACAGCTCAGCCAAGGAGGACATAATTGCTGTTTATACCTCGCTTCCATGAGCACAAATTTTTCGTCCATGAGTAGATGCACTCTACCTTCTCCACAGTGACATGGTTGGTGGTTGTAGTTTCGTACATGAAACTATTCACAACAAGGTCTGTGGATTATCTTCAGTAACCGGGTCATGATTTCTTGAAAGAGATATTGCTGTTGAGTTTTTCAAATGCACGTTTCTGGGGCTTTGAGCTTCACAAGCCAAGTGCTAGTCTTGCCACCAGACAATCAGAGATCTCCGCCTTCTGATAGTCTGGGGACACTCCTTTCTAAAGTGTGTTTAACACACCGGCGAAAACGGCCAGCAACAAAGCAACGCCTCTTTCATTTTTGAAAAGGACACGCCTCCTTGGAAATGTGCACTCCCCCTTTTCTCGTCCGCAAGGAAACAAACACACAGAGAGCTTGAAAATGGATGCCGAGAGATTAAACTCCGTTTTATCAAACGTGTGCTCATCCGTGAAGAAAATATTTTTTCCAGCGGATGTCTTAGTTACAACATGATTGAGCTAACTGGAGTAGTTTCACGTTGTATCCGACAACGGGAGGCTTTTAACAGATGACGTCCTGATGTTAGCTTTGCTGCTGCTGTTAGCTGTCCCTGTCAGCTGCAGCCACTGATGCTTTCTAGACATTGTGATTTCCCAAAACTGAATAAATACCACACATAGCAACACAAAACTGCTTTGCTAGCTCAGTCATGTTGTAACTAAGATATCCGCTGGAAAAGATATTTTTTTCATGGACCGTTTAATGAGTTATTACCTATTACAGACCCCGCTAACGGCTAACAGGGCTAACAGCTAACGGTTAGCCCAGCTAAACGTGCACACAGAAATAGTAATGTTTGTTCAATCATTGTGTTTATAGACTTTACAAACATCGGATTAGTCTAAACGGTGATACAGTGATGTGAAAAATGTGATATGTATACATATATATATATATATATATATATATATATATATATGTAGCTAAAAGCTCTGCTGGTTTTCTACCCGGACTATAGAGGGAATCGCCTTGTTGTTTACAAGGCGATTCCCTCTATAGTCCGGCCGGACGGATGAGTCATGGCCTTGTAAAAGATTATGTTTGTTTCTTTTAGTTGGCGAGAATGTGTCGCCGCAAACGCGACAAACATCCACTAACTTTGACGCCGTTTTCTGCGAGCGCGGCTGAGCCATTTTGTACCGCTACACGTGTTTCTAGTCGGACTGTGTTTACGAGCACAAGAGTTCAGTGAGCCACCGAAGGACCGCCCTGCAGATTTACTATTGGTTCCGCAACGTAGGGAATTTTTTCAAACTCTGAAATTGTATCCGCCCATCTAAACACAAAATCAGGGAGAAAGTCATCAGTCTTTAGTTCAGCAAAGCGTCTAAAGACTGACTTGTGAGTCTAGCCAAGTGCCATCTGGTTACATGATATTGGAGAGAAGACAGACATCTCTACAGCCGATATCTCCAACACTCCGCAAATCACACCAAAACAATCTAGATTAATAAATAGCACTACAGCTAAGAGGAACTTCTTACTAGATGCCAGTCAGGTTATATATTTTGTGTTTTCTCTACCGACTGATCGTTCACTGTTATGGCTCCAAAAATAACGACTGCTCTAGCTGTTATACGATGCAAATATGTCGCACTTACTTCAGCTGCTGGTGCAGAGAGAACCTATAAAATTGTGATCACACCACAAACTTAAAGGTGTTACAGCCTCCATTATCACTGCAAAATGATTGTTTCTGTTCTTCCTTTGAACTGTTACAGAGTTTTTTATGCTCAGTCAACCTGTTCTGTATAAATAAAGGTTTATTAAAATTAAATAATGCCCAATTTTCCTTCAAGTATAAGTTTCAAAAGATCCAAGATGCGTGGAAGGTGCGATAAGGTGTGTGAATACCGCTCAGCAATAGTAAAACTTTATGGTTCATTTATGCTAGTACTTCATCACTTCCTCAAGAGAAAACAAATACATAAACTGCTTTAATTGCGGTGAGGACAGAAGTTAAATTTGGGACTTAATTGAGTTGGACAGAAACGTGGGTTGTTGGTGGAATGTGGAGGAGGGGTGGCGATGGTGGTGGTGGGGTGTGGAAGTTCCTCAGGGGGATGAGAGAATGAACTTTAACCCGATTACACCACCACTTCCCTCCCCCTCTCCCCACTAATCCCTTCCCAGTGTTGGACATCACCCCTCTTTCAGAAAGAGGTTGGTTGCTGTGTGTATGTGTGTGTTGTAGACTCTTTTTCTTCTTGCCCTACTCCAACCTTTCCCCCCCTCTCCTTCTCTTCCCCCTCCCTCAGTTTGAAAAGAAAGACCTGCTCCTTTTCTCTCCCGCCACCTTTTGTCCACTGACCTCCGGGCTCTTTCTCTTCCTCTTTATCTCCACTACTTTTCACTGCGACCATTTCCTCTCTTCTGAAACTCCTTGCTGCGTTTCTCTACTTCATCTCAGGTTCATATTTTTAGAAATACTTTTATTTATGTAATTATTTTTTGACATGACAGATGTATAGGAAACTAATAAATGAAATGTATCTCTAAACATATGTCAAGTGTACAGGGTCTAAAGTTTAGCTGACCTGAAATCACTCAGCAGGCCTTTTCAGTGCCCTTGAAGTCTTTCAAAAAGAATAATACTTACCTCTAATGTAGAGATAACTTTGTAAATGTGTGTCTCTAAAAGTCAGTATCCAGTAAGCAGGTCTTAGCCCACAGCTGAAAAGACAATTTAAAGATTTTGTCTAAAATTCTCAGACGAGACCTGCTGCATATATTCTCTCAGGTCCATTAAGTATCCTCTCTGTGCTGTTGTGTTGTGGCCCAGTTAACGTAACCAGCATTACTGTGTCTTATCAGGCTCCTGAATCAGTAGCTGCCAAGGTTATTAGACCACATACATCACATAACAACATGTTCCCCATCAGAATTGTGCTGAGGTGCCCTCGAGCAAGCTACTGAAGGGACATATTCCACAGTGTCTAACTTACAGATGTTAATACATGGACCTATGTGATGTTAAAGCACTGCAAATCTTAGAAAAGAGCATGGTGTGCAGTTAACTTTTTCCAGGATAAATAACAGTTTAAATTAAATTTGCATTTTAACAAACCGCAAGTTTTAAGAGAGGGAACTTGTCGTCCCAGCACCGGCGAGTTCTCACCCTGTCAGCTAAAGCGAATTAACACCATTTCTCAAAAAAGTGCACCGTCATATCTTTAGATCCATGAGACCAATCAGAGAAGCAGTGGGGGCTGAGCGGAGTGTGTGTGTAGAGGTGCAGTAATTCAAAACCCGCCGCAATTAACGTCGGGTAAATCTCCGGCAAGGTGTGGCATCGCTGCTGACCGAACGGCAGGTGTGGCCATCTTGATTATCTAGCGCAATGATGTGGGAGCGGTATTGTTTTATGGCTTCCATTAACGGCTGACTGTTACCTCTGATCAGAGTCGAATGGATCTCCAGAGCCAGCCCACCCTCCGGCTGTGAGAATATGACTGCCAGCAGGAAAAATACGACCGTGTGCCGAGTCTCACTGTGGAACGACCCAGCTGGGGGAGGGAACAGCCCCGACAGCAATTACTTTTGGTGCCACAACGCTTGACTTGCTCGTAGTTTCTTACCAAAGTTTGAGACGCAGTAAACAAATCTTGAAGTGTTTGGTTTTAAATTAAGATTTCATTTTCACCCCACCCCCAAAACAGACACATCTACCCTTCCAAACTGATAGATAGCACAAACTTTAAACTGATTATGGACCAGTATCAAAGCGAGTGGGTGAGTGAGGACACATGTCAGTGTTCCTGTTAGCAGATTTCGTGGAGTGTTGACAGCTTCGTATGAGATCTTGTTCCAAAATCGAGCTCTCCCTGGCTTCATGAGCGTGACTCTTAGGAAATGGCTTTGACATTTAAACAAACTTTGGGACTTTTTAATGAACATTAGGTAACAGAAGTCCCTGGTTGAAAAAAATAGATCATCTGTACTTTTGAGAAACTGTCTGCAAGTCTTTTAAAAATGTATGAGTGTAGGTTACTCTATCATAGATAGTAGTGAGATGACAAGCATTGAGCTGAGCAGAGTCAATGAAAAAGCACTGTAATGCAGTTTGTGAATGCTGAAATAAAACATATTATTATTTAATTAATAAGCAGGCGTGTTCACTCTCTCTACTGATACATACCAACCAGGCTTCAAAAGGAAGAGGCCTTCAAAGAGTGAAAGGCAGTTCAATATGGCGATGTTTGCTTCTGACTCTGTGCTGAGTCTTACTGAGTGTGTGTTTTGTTTGCAGATGGTATGGGAGAACGGCTGCGTGGTCATTGTTATGCTGACACCTCTCGTCGAGAGTGGGGTGAAGCAGTGCTACCACTACTGGCCCGACGAGGGATCCAACCTGTATCACATCTACGAGGTAAAATGACTCAGCATGAGCAGAACCGACTGTCTGAAGGGTAAACTGCAACTTTATGTCACTGGCCATTGACGCTATGGCACATTTTAAATCACATGGCATTTCAGGGATTCTAATTGAATTAATCTCGTGTCTCATACATGTGTTGATTGGTGGATTCCAGTCACATATTGCAGGCAATGTTTTTCACCAACTTTGAAGAATGATTATTGTGCAAACTTGACTTCATGACGATAAGTTGATTTAAGTGTCAGTCGATTTAAGGCATAAACATGATGGCAAATAAAACTCGATGGACAGTGTTTGCTGTCATTGATTTCATGACTTTACTGAGTCTTGTTGGTGCCGTATACATGTGAATTCATTGTACATTTGTGTTCCCCTGCAGGTGAACTTGGTATCCGAACACATCTGGTGCGACGATTTCCTGGTTCGTAGCTTCTACCTAAAGAACATGCAGACCAATGAGACACGAACCGTCACTCAGTTCCACTTCCTGACCTGGCTCAACCAGACCGTCCCGGAGACCAGCCGGACGCTCCTCGACTTCCGCAGGTAGGGAACTCCTTCAAAAGAAAAAAATGTAAAAAAAATTTCAAGCTAAACTCAGACTTTTTTTTTTTTCCACACAGTTACTTCTTGAGATCACTGAGCTGTTTTAGAGGGAGGATTTTCCTCCTTTTTTCGTCCACTGGCCTTGTGTTGTTGTCACTGGTATCTCAACTCATCTGTTGGCATGCACCAAGAAACCAACCAGTAGGACTTGCTAGTGCAACAAGACTATGATCCCTCACTGGCTTCCCACTGCAAATACTGCCACTTATGTTCTTGAGGTGTGTTCACACCAAATACAAAGCAAATTTTTGCAGTTTTGCTAAGTAACTGGGGAAGGCAACCAACACAATTGTAAGTGCTAACTTGTTTCATAGTAAAGTACAACAATCAAGTGTAAGCTCTTTTGTTGAGTTGCCTCTTAGCAAAATGCCTCTGTGTTCTGAACCAGCATAAACCAAGACAGTAACCCTCTTTACTATTTGCAAATGTTTTACAGAGGCCCTTTACCATTTCACTCCTTCTGCTTTTTACCTTTCACAATAAAAGCCCAATTTAAATAACTCAGAGCCTTTTGCCATGAGGCATCTCAACAAATAGCTCACACAAGTAACAATACATATTTTCAGAACTTACCATGTAGTCCTACGGCTTCGCTGACTTTTCTCTAATCCCTCTTCTTTTTTTGTTCTGTTTCTGTATGGTGCTGTCATTGAGCTGTAGAGCTCTGGGTGTCCACAGACAGCGACAATTAAGTTGGTCCTCCATTTCTGATTCTCTGTGATGTCTCAACTCTGATAGGCTTTGGTGACACATTTATTATTCATTCATTATCTGTAACCACTTATCTTATTCAGGGTCGCCTGGGAGCTGGAGCCTTTCTCAGCTGTCATTGGGCGGGAGGCGGGGAACACTGACACATAGAGTCAGACAACTATTCACACTTACAGTCACACCTTCGGGCAAATGAAAGTCACCAGTTAACCTAACCTGCATGTCTTTGGACTGTGGGAGGAATCCAGAAAACTTGAAGTAAATCCATGCTGACACAGTGAGAACATGCAAAGTCCATACAGAAGGGCCCCATTCAGCCAGCGGGTTCAAACTGTGAGGTGACAGTGATAACGACTGCACCACCGTGTTGCCTAATTTCAATACATAAATTCAAACAAATTTTATTTTTGCTTGACACTTACGGACACAGATGCGGATTTTTGCCTGGTCCGGCGCAACTTTGCATCTGGTCATCTCTCTGCATTGACTTTGTATGTAATCATGCTGCACAAAACATTCGCTTCGATTTTGGTCTGAACACATGCAATACACAAAGAAAGCCAGAGGCACCATCACTGGCTATTTATTAAGGCCTCTACATTGTGGGCAAGTGTGCTTGATTGGTTAGGTGCTACTTAGAGTGGTTTGAAGCATATTTTCCTGTGCTGGCCAAATGATAAAGACTTCTTAGGATTTTACTTAAAGAGTTTCTTGGAACTTCTATTCAACTGAAGTACATAAAGCCTGCTTTTAATGTTGATGGTGAAAGCATTAAGGTTTGAGAAGGCTTAAGGAAACTTTTGTCAGTCCTTTTGAATGAGGCCTTTGGAGAAAAAATACACTGATAACAAGATTGATTTTCAAAGCACAAGGAGCACTCTGTGTGATGTTTTCAAAAAAAATCATTTCAGTCTTTTTCTCGAAAGAGTCTCTTACCTCACTTTGTCTTTGCTTTGGTTGAACAAAACCAGCTTTTATTTGTAAGGAAGTCCACTTGTGGATAGACATAAGAAGGACATATGAACCATGTGATAGTAGCTGCTTAGTAGCTTTCTTGACCAAAATGAGAAAATGTTCTGCACGTTTTTCACTTCTCACTGATCTCCTATCTGTATTGTATCTCCTGTTATGAAAGGTGTCGCGTTCATTAACCCAACAGTGATTCTTGTGGGTTTGGCAGCCTTTGTATATGACTTGTGGTTCCTTGAGTTTCTTCTATGTATTCACTCCTCATTTTGCAAGAAGTCAATGCAAGTTTCTCTGAAGGTTGTTGAAGGTCAATCTGGAAGTAGCAAGAAGTCAAAAGCTAAAATAGAAGAATACGAGACAGGAGAGTGGCACCACAAGTGTAAGCTCCAACATTGAAGTCCTGAAATGCACCCCAGTCAACATCTTTTCATGCCTTTCAGTTGAAAGACTGGCAAGGCCACATGGTAGTCTATAAGTGATGGTTGTAGACACAGTTATTTTGGACATTTTTGGGGTTTTTTTGGAACAAAAAGAAAGTAAAGAAGGGTCAAAAAGAAGGTCCTGGAATTGTTTCCTTCCCCCCCTAAACCACAAAGGCTTTGAGTGGCCTTTGTGTCTCGCTCACAGCGTAATAACTTCAAACCTTTCACTTCTCCAGGAGTTTTAACTCGTGACCCTGAGATGTAGGCAGAGAAATATCTATATATCCTCAAACATCCTGGGCATTTTCCAGTCGATAACAGTGTAATTCAGGATGCATTGAGGGAACTCTGCCGGAGTGATCCTTTATCTCCGGCGCCTTTATAGCCACCTCCCCTCCTTCGACCTCTTTTAAACTGATATACTGTATTGCCTATTAGGTGGGAGCCGCCCCGGCCCCTTTTCTCTGATTCACTGTGGATTTTCTCGAGCGATAGACCCCAACTCGGTTTTATATATAGGCCCGGTGTTGCCATGCTGCTGGCGCACATCAATTAGGTGAGATATCAAGAGTGAGTGCTTGTGGTCACAGCTATTATAAAAGGGTCTGGTAGGCGTCACCACCCACCATCAGTTAGGAAATATTGCTTTTACTCACAGGGCGGCGGGGTCAGAACACAATGAAGAAAGCGCACAGGGAGATATTTTTCACTTTTATTACTGTGGATATGGTACAATAACAACCTCCCCTCTCTTTTTTTTTTTTTTTGGTGCTTCCTTTTTTTCCACCTCGATGGTTTGAGGATGTCAGCCGATCTCTCCTTCTTTATGCTCCTGTTGGCATGTTTTTTTTTGTTTTTTTTTTAACCTCACTCACAACTGACTGACTGACTGAGCCGAAGCATTGCTCATAAATCCTCTCTGTCCTTTTCCTCCTGTTTTACCAGCTAACTAGCGGTTGCCAGTGTCATTTTTGTGATGTTGCAGCTAGTAATATAAGCCCAGTTGCATAGTCACAAAAGTGATCATTGGAGACTGTGACTCTGCAACCAAGGGGCCTCATGGACCCCCCGTTCCTACCCTTTTACTCCTCTTTTTACCCCCATCCTCTCCTCCCTTTCCCCCCCCCCCCCCCTTCATCACTATCCTCTTTCTCTCTCCTCGCTGTGCCCGGTGACCTGAGATGACCTCTCGCCTTTTTGCTTGCTCATGGTTTGCTTGACTGCCTCCGATCTCCTCCCACCTCCACCCCCTTCTCTCGCCATGACTCCCTTCCTCTCTCAGTCACTTTTATCTTTCTCTCTCCCACCCTGTATGATGTCCTTCTGTCTGTCCCTCTGTCTGTCTCTCTTGATGATTTCTGAAGGCTGCTCTGAGGATACATCCACACTAAGAAAAAGCACGTTTGTCCTCTCAGTTTTGTCCTTGGTTTCCAGACTGGACAAATCTGAGAGTGGAATGAATGTGAAAAATAGATGATACCACTGCAGACTACATCCTGTGTCTATATGATGAGTTTGTTGTGTGATATGAGCATCAAATTACTTGATTCCCTGATTCCAGTGAGTGCTGCACTGTTTGCAAGGTAAACAGGTAGCATTTACGACCCTTGATCAAGAGGCTCTTTTTTGCTTGTGTAGTTGTTTGACGACAGAGACAGAATTAAATGTAACTGAGCTTGGGTGTTTAAGCCAGAGGAGGTGATAATGGAGATCGGGGACCTGTTTTACAAAGTCATTTGTGAGTATTCCTCAAATGCAGATAGTTAAGGTTTTATAAATAACTGTCATTCGTATGTCATCCAGACCTAAAGGCTTCTCACCTGTCAGCCCAATCACCAGAATAAAATGTTGGGATCTTACGTTTTTCCAGACCATGGATACATTACATTTGCTCATTATTATGTAGCAGAACGCTACGTGTGCTTATGTGTAGGCACAAAAACACTTGGTAATGGTTAGGAAAAGATCATGTTTTGGCTTAAAATATATGGTTTTGGGGGGGGGGGGCACAATCCCAGCAGGAAAAGCAGCCATGTCTTGGTAAAAACCACCGTTTTTTGTGCCACTTTGTGCCAAAAAACCCTGTTTGGAGCCTAAAAAGCTGCTGGAAGCACAACAATGACTCGCTAAATCGCAACTGGTTTTGTTGTTCGGTGGTCTCGAACAGAGGTCCGCAGGGATCCGCAGCTTGGCACGCTTGGTGTATCTCGTCTAGGTGACGAGCCATTCCTTACACCGGATTTCCACTGGATGCGTGTCTGTTGCGGAACGGCAGCGCTGGTTATCCGCTGCGTGCTCCGCCGTCCGTCAGTACCCACCGGCTGCGTTTGCTGTGCGGTGCGGTGCAGCTCCGCCAGAAGACATCTCGATGCACTGCCATGATTAATATCTCCTCGTCCATGGTGTTCACGGGGTGAAATGACGTCTGAAAACCTCTGACCTGTTGACTTCAGGCCTGCCTCTGCCCATTATGTAGTTTTTAAGGTGTAGTGCAGGGAAATATGATCCGCCGTGAACACTATGTATTTTATTTTGAAAATTAACCGGATGTTTTATTGTGTTTCTGTGCACGACTTCCTGCCCCGCACGATCTGCTCTGTGCTGAATTGCTGTGTTGTGCTCCGGCGTCCGGCAAAAATAGAAGTCCTGCGTATCTGTTGCAGAGGGCTCTGGAGTGCCGGAGCTGACACGGAGCCGGAACGCAGCACAGCCGCAGCTGGTGGAAACACACACATTGACTAGAATGGAATCCTATCGGCTCCGCTGCCATGCCGGAGCGCAGACGCAACCAACATGCATCTGATGGAAATTGGCCGTTATCCCCTCCACCTCCCAATGACAAAGTTGGCTTATATACTACGTCACTTTGGAAGCATTTATATGATACATATGAATGCTAAAGTAACCTATTCGTGGATTGCAGAAACATGTGATGTCAACATTTTCTTCTGGCAACTGGGCTGCACCTGTTGATGTATGGTTGTTTGTTGCTGATGAGCGTAACACATCCAAATTAATGGCAGAGAAATAAATCTCATGGTGCATATTGTGGCTTACATGTTGCAAATTCAGTGAAAAGGTTCCCAGGTTTAAGCTTTTCAGCGAAGATCGAGGTCGAAACCAATCTGAAAATATTAGCGTGGACCCTTTTCATCTGTAGCTTGGTGTGGATACGGTCTGACTCCATCAGTTTGTTTTTCCCTCTCTGTATGTCTTGTTCTTATTCTCACCATCCATCTCCCTCCTCATCATCATCAGGTTCTCTCTTTTGTCTCTCTCTGTCTGACTCTTGATCTCTCTCTCTCTCTCTCTCTCTCTTTCTCTCTTTCTCTCTTTCCGTCAAGCTTGAATCTCCCTTATGGGGCGTTTCCTTTGAATCCCGCACCCCTCTATTCACCCCCGCCTGTTGGTGATTCTCTGCTGGCTGTTTCCATGGTAACATCACTTTTAATTGTCTGCAGCGAGCTCTGACTTTTCAATTTTGGTTCGGTGGAGGATGAACATGGGTGGGGTTTTGAGGTGGAAAGACTTCCTTTCTTCCGTTTTTGGGATTTTCCCGCTTGTGTGCTCGTCACTTGGCCTCAGGAAGCCCTTTCAAAACCCACTGTCAAAAATACACCTGTTTAGCACAGCTATTGTTTGTCCTAGAATTTCCTGAAAACCTAACAATTAGTCGGGCTTTGGGTATTGCAGTATAAGTGTAATAAATTACAATAACTGTTTTTATCTGGGTTAGGGCCACTGATTGACAGTTTTCAGGGCCAATGACTGGCAGTTACGTTGTTCTGTTTTGTGTGTTTTATACATCAGAACTAGTTGGATAAAAAGCACATTTGCAGGACACCCTGACATTTACTGAATACTTGGTGTTCCTCTCCCTGGGTCCACTCCTCTGGCACAGCTTCTGGATTTGTGATTGTGATAGTAGAAAATGTTTAATGCTTTTTCATGTTCATGTGAGTCTGGATATATTATGATTTCAGTGCACTAGACCATTAGAAAAAATGTGTATTAATAAATCCATTAAAAGATGTTGGAATTACCATTAAGTATTTATTTAAATCCTACATAAATCAAGGTCCAGTTACTAGCTTTTTCTAGACCTTTCAACCACACCTCGGTTGTCATAGAGATAGCAGTTGCCATCATGTGATCTACGGATGATGTAATTTTCGCCCCTTTGTTTGGCTTTACTTTCCACCAAATCTCAGTTAAAAAAAAAAAAAAAAAATAGGTCTAAAACAATCTTAGCAGTGGTGAAAAAGTGTTTTAATAAATTAAGGTCTGGGGATTTTTTTTTGTTGAAATGTGGAAAAGATTTCAAGGAGCAAACGAAGGTCACCAAATTCACTCCAAACATAAACGACTGTGGAAACTTACAGTTGTAGGAAGAAAAAAACTGAAGCAGGTCTGAGGTTTCTTTCCTTGACTGAGTGATGCATTATGGATCACACACACACACACACACACACACACACACACTGTGCCTTTACATAATATGTTCCTGCTGAATATTGTTCGAGTTATCACCATGAAATAGAATCAGAGATGATTTCCAGCTGGGATCAAACTCACGGCTCTCTGCTTCTTGCTCAGATAGAAGCTGGGTTTTGTGTAGATGCACTGGCTGCTGTGCATTTTGATGAACAAGGTGTGAAGTTTTTACCACAATTTATAAAAAAGGGATGCACCATTTTCAACGCTTGCTTTGATGTGACTTTTAACATCGTATGAAAGAAGCTCTGTTTTCTTCATTTCAGGATGCTGCTTGGAAGCAAGTTGCTTCCATCAATGCAGGAAAAGTATAGTAAAAATTGCTACTTTTTGTATTATAATAAAACATTGTGAGCTGCTGGGACTGATTCTGCTGTCGCTTTACAGTGCCAAACAGGAAGAAGGCGCTCTTCCTTTAGAGGACGTGAAGCTCAATCTTCCACAGTTTTAGGTAGTTGTTGTGATGTTGGAAGGAAAAATATGATCACTTTTAACATGTTTAGTCTTAATAATAAAACCAAAGAAGAAACATTTGACTGCTAAACGTGGGAAACGTGGTCTTGGTTTGGAGACGCATTGGCACCAACAGTATCATTGTTTTGATAGATTTCACTATGTATTTTATTATTTTCCAACTGTATATTTGTGTCCAATCATGATACACGGCACATCTTTAACATTTTGTACACTGTGTTGTGTAGTTACGCAAGTGTGCATTGTCCTAATCTAGACATTTCTGAGGACAACATAATATTTCAAGGCCTACTCACCATCTTGTTGAGTCTGCTTTCAAGTTTGGTTGTAACAAGGTTCCATTTCAACATTAGGGAACACTTATGGGGTTTGGGTTGGTTTGAGTATCAAACACTTAATTTCTTGCATTGTGACTATTGTATGCACCTGTTTGTGCATTCTCTGCATCGATTTGTGAAGTATATGTCTTTTTAATTTTGTCAGAGTAAAAGTCCTGTGCTATTGTCATGTTTTTATTGGGGCAGATGAACAAAAACCCAATACAAACAAGAATAACAGTCAAAAAATTTGAAACTAATTCTTTTAAATTTCTAGGTTCTACATCTTTGACTCTGCCCTTGATTGTCTGAGATGCTGAAATAACTCGAGTCTCTTAAATGTTGAAATACACTCATTAATGACACTCTCTGGGGGTGAACTCTGGTACTTACGTGGGATGAAACGAAGTATCAAGAGTGTTTTTGCTGAGTCATATTCAGGGCTGAATTCACCAAAGTTTTTCTAATCTTTGGTTGGTGGTTTGGTCATTTTGGAAGTGGTGCTGAGAATCAGTTTTACTGCAAGACACTTTGGATGAAAAATGTATAGGTCTGGTAAGTGGTATGGGGCACATAGTGAGCTGTATGCTTACAAAATGTTAACCATAAGTTGTTGATCTCAAAGTTGTACAACCATCTTAATGAAAATTCTAACAGTCTTGAGGAACATTTCTGTCTATTTTCATCCAATAAAAGTTAGATGTCACTGTGCTCTGCATGCTGTTCTTTGTGACTGTTATTTTTTAAAGCCCAGACACATGATGTACTACTGTGTGTTTCTGTACCTGTGATGTTAACACTAAGCTTGTTTTTCTGTTCTGTGTTTTTTACAGAAAAGTTAACAAGTGCTACAGGGGACGCTCGTGTCCTATCATAGTCCACTGCAGGCAAGTATCATAACAACTACAGCAGTCTGTATTTCTTTTTTTATGTCTTGAAATGGTCCTAGCATATATTAAGGGTTATACAATTTGGTTTGTCTTGAGTAAGATGTCAGTTTTTGACAACAAGCAGATAAACAGCCCCTTTACTGATAAACGATTTGCTTAGATGATTTGAAGCTGAACTTGCATGCCCTTGTGGTTTCTGTCATCCAGTCTGAGCTACCATTTAAATTCTCACAAGCTCTCATGTCACTTGTCAGCGTGTGGCGAGCGACAAACGTTTTACACGAGAAATTAGCCAAAAAGTTGTGATTTAATTTGACAAACTGTCCACGGAGGACGGTAACTTTTAATTGGAGGCACTTCAAAGTTTGCAGAGTGTTGTTTGGAGCCAGTGGGTGAGAGCGAGAGAGGGGTAAATAGAAGTAGGCAGGGTTGCAGCTGTTGTGTGTGTGTGTGTGTGTGTGTGTGTGTGTGTGTGTGTGTGTGTGTTATCACATCTGCACACCCCCACCACCTCAGGAAATAACTCCAGACCAGTGAGACATAATTAAATCTGTATTTAACAGAAAAATCTGCCATGGTTTTTTTTGTGTGGAAACATCCTGCAATGATTGGATTAGAGAGGAAAAAAATAACTTCCATAACAGATAGCCGTTATGTCTGTCTGCTCACTCCTCCACTAAGTGATATATTATTTAATATGGTGGAATTGCTCTTTGAAGACGATGAAACTGTACATTTCTTGGCTAAATTGTCAGGCTGCACCAGAGTATGAAACCTGTCTTTATGGAGCATCAGCCACAGATCATCCTCAAGTTTCTCAGTTACCTTCCAAGTAAAAGTTGTGTTTAGAAACATAGTGAAACTTCCAGTTGACAGTTTGTTACCTGGTTTAGAGGTTGCTTGAATAGAGTCATCATGCACACACTTAATGTATATAAAGGTGTTACAGGAAGTGTGATGATTGGTCCACTGAAATTCTATCTACTCTTCAACCAATCGATGGGTCAATGGGGCAAGAAAATCTGCATGTTATCCCCAAGCAGCAACCTCAGAGGCTGAAAAATACAGCCAACGCAAAGGTGCCAAAAACTGCAGTTCACTGAATGGCCACTTGAGGCTGGCTCCAAAACCCCGTAGGTCCCCATGTTCATATGTCCAACATTACAGCTAAAACAAACATGTTTACAGCCTGGTACAAAAAACAGGATTTTGTTGTGTTTAGATGCTTATTAAGGTCTTTGCAACATTTTTTGTGTCATACCTGGTGGCTTTTTTAATATCACATACCAGGCCTTGAGAGGAGGGAATGATATTGTTATGTAACCTCTGATTTGCACCAATCAAAGCTCATCCCTAAACCCAGCCAGCCAATCGTGTAAAGCTGTAGTACTGAAAGGATGGAGAAACTGTCCCATTCATCCTGCAGACTTTCACTGAGAGCTTTCAAACGAGTTTGTCAAAGCCAACTGTGCACGGCCATTTATCACCCTAATGTATACAGAGAGCAGAGTGAAGCAATCAGGATGAGAAGTGAGCGAACAGAAGAGTGCAGATGCCCAAATTCTGTAATCACAGCATTCGGAGAATTTCTCTGTCTCTCTTCTTTCTTTCTCTCTAGCTTTCTCTCTCTCTGTCTTTTTTTTTTTTTACAATTTTTGTCATTTCAAAGCTTTTTTTTCTTTCTTCTATCGCTCTCAATCTTGTCTTTTTTTTTCTTTCCCTCTCTCTGCTCGTCTGTCCCACTCTGTCTCTCATTTTAAATAGGAGTGAGAGAAGGCAGCAGACATCTTGACATGTTTACTCACAGCCCTCAGGCTTCTGCTGACACACGCACACGCACACACATCACATATCTTTGATCGCCTTGTAATGATCTTGGCGAGGTGCAGCGATACGACAGATCTAATCACAGCGTAATAACCTGTACAACACACACACAAACGCACACAGAGAGATGGACACACACAAACTACCTGAGATCAGAGAGATAGTAGTATCTGCGTAGAATGTGCACACACACTCATACACTCTGATACTGTGGTGGTCCTGCTCAATTACTGCCACTGGGTGTGTTGGAATAAACAGCTGTGTGTGCGCGCGCGTGTGTAAGTGGTAGCTGGCATGCGTCCGTACTTTCTGAATATTTCATTTCCACTAGGGTCTTGGTTTTTCTCTGCAAGAATACACACACATGCACACACACAGACACACACACACTTGAGTTTGCTGGATTACACGCCAGCCCATGAAATAGACTGGTACGGGTGCAGACATCAATTTTCAACACTTGAAATAAATCTAGGATACAAAATATTCCCTCCACATATACTACAGAGTCTAATTCTGTTTAATGCACCACATTCAGTTTTTTTTTTCTTTTTCTTTTTTTTGGGGGGGAGAACATGCATTTATGTCTGTATTAAACAAAAAAATGTAACATTGCTGTTGTTGCTAAACAGATTTAATTTTTGACGTTATTTCCTGACCAAAATAAAACCCATTCCAGCCTCCTGTTCCATAATTGTACGCCTTTGAAGTTGTTTATCCCCTTGAAATAGCATTAGAAGACTCATAAACCTCGACATATTAAATCTCTCAGACTGCTGCTCACCTGCTTAACATTGAAGTCAGGTTACGTCTGTCTCCGCTCTGGAAAAAAAAGAACCCAATAACATGAATATGGTGGAGGATATGAAAGAAGTCGTATTGTTACAGTGAATCTGTGGGTGTTATGTGCCGCACCTTTACTGTGTGATTTTTCAGCAGCAGTGGGACAAGCCGACTTGCTGGCATTGCTGCCACGGTTCTCTAAATGCTTGTTAACACTTCAGATTTAATCAGTTTTACTGGTTTAAAATCTTATTTGAATTTGCATCAGCAGCCACAGAGAGAACGTTTATTGCCTCTTGTCTGGATGAAAACACACAGCTGCCAGACTGAACTTGTAAAAGTCGACATGATGGAAGATCATGGCAGGAGACAAAAACTGTAGCTGTAGATCTGGTTTGCTGATGGTGTTACAGTAAACACAGTAACAGCAGCCGAGCAGGTGAGCTGCTTTTGCCCGGACAAAATGTAGCAGTATGTGAAGCTCTCACAGTGTTTCCCTGTGGAAAGACTTTGATGAACCTGAAGTATTATGTAACTCAATATAACAATCTCAACAGGTAATTCACTTTTTTTTGTTTTTTTACCAAATTTAATGCATGAAGGTTCCAATAAATAAGAAAGGAGGAAAACAGTGGCTGGTTGATTAGTCTCAGCAACAGAAGTAAACATGTAATAATTGACCAATCCATTTTTTTTTCTTTTTTCGGTTTTCAGAAATCACCTTTTTTAATTTTTTTTCCCTCCTTTTTTGCTGCATCACCAAATACTTAAAAATGCCCAACATGATTATGTGTATATGCAGAATATTTTCCTACTAGGTAAACTATTGATAATGATTTATTATTACATTTTATTTTATTTGCTTATTTTTTATTATTTGTATTTTTTAAATGTTATCACTGGTATTAGTATTATGATATTTTTTGTATTATTATTATTATTATTATTATTTATCCATTTTTTTTTCTCATTCTCTCTCTTACTTATTTACTTCTTGGGTGTCCGTGGAGGGCTGGGTGTGTGTGCTTAAATGTTCACTGAAAATCAAATAAAGTTTTTAAAAAAAAAAAAAAGTATTTGGGAAACATGGAAATTTACTTCTTTTTTTACAAGAGTGACTTAACAGTTTTTTATATGCAGTGACAAAGGCTAGACAGAGCCCTTTTTTTGACATAATTTTATTTCTAATGTAAAATTTTACTTCAAGGTTAGATTTAATTTAATGCAAAATTCTGTCTTCATGAGTTTATAAAGCAGTGTCCATCATGAGAAGAGAACATACCTCAGTAAGAAGCAACTACAGTAGATTCATTTAGCTCCGTCAGGTTTAACCATCGTGTGCAGATAGCAACAAGTAAACATTTAATGCAATAAAAACTTTTATGTTTACATACAGTGAATGTTGAATGCAGAGGGTTTCATACCATTGCAATCTCTATCTTAAAAATGATAATACATCTTTGATGTCATGATTATTTTTTATTCTTTATTATCATGAAAAGAAAGATTATCATGAAAGAGATAATGATCTGACAAACTGTTTTATTTAATTAATACTTGTCTGTCTTCATCTCTCCTCTCAACCCCCATCTGTGTCCCGCGCCCTGGTCCACACGTGCAGTGACGGTGCAGGAAGAAGTGGGACCTACGTCCTGATCGACATGGTCCTCAACAAGATGGCTAAAGGTGAGTGTGTGTTGCCCCCCCCCCCCCCCCCCCCCCCCCCCCCCCCCCCCCCCCCCTGCCCCCCCCCCCCCCCCCCCCCCCCCCCCCCCCCCCCCCCCCCCCCCCCCCCCACCACCACCACCACTTTTTTCGTTGCCTTCGTGGAGAGGCATTACCATAGCAACCCCTGTCCTCCCATACTTAACACAACAACGAGAAAATAAACACTTCTGTCAAAATATAACCACTAATTGTCAGGTTTTTTTTAATTGGATGAATGCATAGAAAATAATGACATTTAATTAGATAATTACAGTGATGAGTAGGTAAAACTAATATTATCCATTAACACAACTCAGTCACTGTTGCCCCTGAGCCAGAGAAAACAAACACTGATATATTCATTAGTTTTTCCTTAATTAATATCTGTTTCATTTCTCAGTTGATGCTATGCCTCTTTGGCACCATACTGCAGATTCTTTCTCCTCTATCATGACAATTAAACACATTTAAAATCCAAAGAAAGTAGAAACGTGACACAGGGAGGACAGAAAGAGAGGTGGAATCACCGGTGGAAAAGAGGAAGTTTCGTCAAGGAGTACGTTCCCACTTTTAAAGTCTACCAACAGAGTAGTTATCCAACAGAGCTGACCTTGAACACTTTATTTGAAGTGTCATCAGGACTCACAGCCAGTGCATTTCGAGCACATTGTGAGTGCATGATAATTACTATAATTAGAGCATGATATAATAAACACGGTGTAGTAATTATGTAGGGGACTGAATATTTAACGGGGCAGCGGCGGTTCATGACATGACATTAAATTAAGTGTCAGATTGATTTTTTGGGAACAAGTGACTCTTACCTCTTCAGTTTATGTGATTAGGTTGGTTTTTGAGCTTGAGCTTGTACTTAGATTTATAGACAGCACTTCGTTGTTGTCACTGTACAGTTCTTCTTATATCGCATTGCCTTAAGAAAAACCTTATTTTCCAAACACCACACAGATGTAGTTTATTTTTTTCTATTTAATTGTATGAAAAAGTAGCTAACGAGCGACTTTTCATAAATAAAAAGTAATTACTACATAGGACAAGTAGTGAAGTAATTCTCCATAACACCATGGTTGGTGCAGTGTGGAAAATGACTTCATGCTTAAGTATAATGTTAAGATGTTGAAATATGCAGTGTTTAATAAACTGAATTAAGTAAAATGTTTCCAAAAATGTTTGATTTCTGATGAAGATTTGAACATAGTTTGTTTGCACAGACTTTGCATGTGTGTATGTGTCTGCATACCGTTTTGTTTCTCTGTAGAAGTACGTACGTGTGTGTGTGTGTGTGTGTGTGTGTGTGAGGTGTCCTGTGGTGGTGGTGCTGCTGTAGCAGAACGAGCTCCTGGGTCTTTAATTCTCGATCAAAGGGTCAGTCGGGCATCAGGAGCCTTTCCCGAGGCTGTCACACTGTGATCAGGGCCCCTCCTCAGCACCCAGGGACCTGGGAGAGAAGGGTGGGGCTGGGTTAGGGTTTGGTGGATGTAAGGAGGGAAAGTCCTTTGTACCCTTCTGTGTCCAGAATCCCAAATTTACTATAAGAAATAAAAATATATTTTGCTATCCAGCCCAGTTCCAAAACTAAGCATCTGTCTGGGAAAAACAATGTATTAAAATGCCAAATTAATCATGTCAACTTTAATTTTTAGCTCATTTTATTGAAACTAAAGTTGTTTTTCTACACGCCAGCTTCACTTGTCCGCAGCCCCAAAATGCAGAAGACATACCTTCACCACCCGAGTATCATCATAACTTCTTTTTAAAGCTTCTTTACTCTCTGTGTGAAGAGTTCAAGCTCATAAAACCAGAGTTTTAGCTCTGGCTTCACATTTATTTAAGGTCTTTATGTTTGATAACTCTACTAGTAAGGAAAACAGTTGTAAACCGAGGCCAGACCTTCATGGTGTACTCTGAGGTGTAAATGAACAGAATAGCTGATTAACTCTCTTAACACTCTTTGTCAATGAGAGAAGGTCTTTTGATTGAGTAGGGAAACGCGTAACGGATTCAGACCAAGATCAGAAGGTGTCGTAGGTGTTAAAGAAGGTTATTGTGAGGATCAAAGTGGATTCCAGCACGTATAACTCAGTTTGAAAGGAACTAGAGCGTTGATGCTGACAGAGACATTTTCATGGAGACAGAGCTTTGTTTGGAGTTTTGACAGCCAATCATATTTTATTTTATCTAATTGCCCTTGAAATAAACCCGAGGCATCGTGCAATCTCTTAACCTCATACAGAATCATGTTATTCTTAAAATTAAACATGAAAATCCACAAAGTGAAGTTGGGAGAATCTTACCCTGCAGAGATGACACAAGGCTTTATGTTTGGGAGTTGGCTTTTTTCTTTGCTCTGTTAGTCTCAGTGTGCAGATGCCAAGGTTCATTTCCTTGGCATCTGCTCAGTACAGTGATGATGATGATGATGATGATGATGATGATGATGATCAAGTCATTCTACTGTGCTTTGTACATATTTGAGATAAACATACTTTACTTGTCAGTTTTCTGCTACTTTAAAATTCTACTTTTCTATAGGGGAATATATTGTACTTTTCACTTCATGTATCTGACAGCTGTAGTTTTAGTATTTCGATAAATATTTTACATGCAAAACTCGATGATGATTTGTAAAATTTAGACAGCAGAAAAGTTGTACAAATTGGTGCCAGTTTGACCTGATTCAACCCTAAAATGCTGTGTACATGAATAAGAAAAAGATGATATAAAGGGAGAAATACCAAAGATAGGTTTTGGGCAGTTTGCCATTACATATACCCTTTTTTCTTCCAAAATTAGCATGTATATACAGTACAGGTCAAAAGTTTGGACACACCTTCTCATTCAATGCGTTTTCTTTATTTTCATGACTATTTACATTGTAGATTCTCACTGAAGGCATCAAAACTATGAATGAACACATGTGGAGTTATGTACTTAACAAAAAAAGGTGAAATAACTGAAAACATGTTTTATATTCTAGTTTCTTCAGAATAGCCACCCTTTGCTCTGATTACTGCTTTGCACACTCTTGGCATTCTCTCCATGAGCTTCAAGAGGTAGTCACCTGAAATGGTTTCCACTTCACAGGTGTGCCTTATCAGGGTTAATTAGTGGAATTTCTTGCTTTATCAATGGGGTTGGGACCATCAGTTGTGTTGTGCAGAAGTCAGGTTAATACACAGCCGACAGCCCTATTGGACAACTGTTAAAATTCATATTATGGCAAGAACCAATCAGCTAACTAAAGAAAAACGAGCGGCCATCATTACTTTAAGAAATGAAGGTCAGTCAGTCCGGAAAATTGCAAAAACTTTAAATGTGTCCCCAAGTGGAGTCGCAAAAACCATCAAGCGCTACAACGAAACTGGCACACATGAGGACCGACCCAGGAAAGGAAGACCAAGAGTCACCTCTGCTTCTGAGGATAAGTTCATCCGAGTCACCAGCCTCAGAAATCGCAAGTTAACAGCAGCTCAGATCAGAGACCAGATGAATGCCACACAGAGTTCTAGCAGCAGACCCATCTCTAGAACAACTGTTAAGAGGAGACTGCGCCAATCAGGCCTTCATGGTCAAATAGCTGCTAGGAAACCACTGCTTAGGAGAGGCAACAAGCAGAAGAGATTTGTTTGGGCCAAGAAACACAAGGAATGGACATTAGACCAGTGGAAATATGTGCTTTGGTCTGATGAGTCCAAATTTGAGATCTTTGGTTCCAACCGCCGTGTCTTTGTGAGACGCAGAAAAGGTGAACGGATGGATTCCACATGCCTGGTTCCCACTGTGAAGCATGGAGGAGGAGGTGTGATGGTGTGGGGGTGTTTTGCTGGTGACACTGTTGGGGATTTATTCAAAATTGAAGGCACACTGAACCAGCATGGCTACCACAGCATCCTGCAGCGACATGCCATCCCATCCGGTTTGCGTTTAGTTGGACGATCATTTATTTTTCAACAGGACAATGACCCCAAACACACCTCCAGGCTGTGTAAGGGCTATTTGACCAAGAAGGAGAGTGATGGAGTGCTGCGGCAGATGACCTGGCCTCCACAGTCACCGGACCTGAACCCAATCGGGATGGTTTGGGGTGAGCTGGACCGCAGAGTGAAGGCAAAGGGGCCAACAAGTGCTAAACACCTCTGGGAACTGCTTCAAGACTGTTGGAAAACCATTTCAGGTGACTACCTCTTGAAGCCCATGGAGAGAATGCCAAGAGTGTGCAAAGCAGTAATCAGAGCAAAGGGTGGCTATTTTGAAGAAACTAGAATATAAAACATGTTTTCAGTTATTTCACCTTTTTTTGTTAAGTACATAACTCCACATGTGTTCATTCATAGTTTTGATGCCTTCAGTGAGAATCTACAATGTAAATAGTCATGAAAATAAAGAAAACGCATTGAATGAGAAGGTGTGTCCAAACTTTTGGCCTGTACTGTATATATGGGTAACATGTGAAAACCCTGTTCTGGGGTGTCATGTTCATTATCATGGATGTGCCAAAAAACAGGGTTAGTAAACAGCAGAACATGCATGGAGGCCAGTGAAAGTTTTATGGCAGTTACTTCTTTTTATATCAATTACTTATTCAGTCTCTCTTTCAAACTGTGTGCCGAATAATTTTGATATTCAAGACAGAAATTGTGGCTGAGAGTCATAGAAAGAGTTGCAGAAGTTTATAAAGTTCATGTCAGAAAATGGCCGAACGTTAGCTATCCACCCAGGTGTCATGTTTCCATCACTGCCAGCCGAAGCTGGAGCCGATACATACCCGCAACTACTACGAGCCATTTGTCCTAAAACAACGCAGTCTCATCCCAACTCGTCAAACATCACTGCTTTGTCAGTGGACTTTTGCACCTAAATATTGCATGCTAGGTAGCCTCTTGCATCTCTTGTTGATGTTTTTGGACAGCATGTCAATTTACACTTGCTACATGCATTGTCTTTTTAAAATACAGTTCCAT